TCTGTGTGTATGTGTGTGTGTGTGTATGTGAGAGAGAGAGAGAGAAGAGAGAGAGATAGAGAGAGAGAGAGATAGAGAGAGAGAGAGAGAGAGAGAGAGAGAGAGAGAGAGAGAGAGAGAGAGAGAGAGAGAGAATCAAATTGTTTTGTAGTAACAGGGACCAAAACCCCTGCCCCAACATTCTATCTATGCGTTCAGGAATGTTTCACTTTAGAAAACGTTACATGTAATTATTGTAATAATTCCTTATGATAATTATTATTATCATCATCATTATAAGTATTATTATTGTATTGTTATTTTTATCATTTCTATTGTTGTAATTGTTATTATTTCTATCATTATATTATTATTATTATTATTATTATTATTATTATTTCTATCATTATTATTACTGTGATCACTGTGTATTATGATGATTGTAAAACAAGATGATGGTGATAATGATGATGATGATAATGATGAAGATGATGACGATGATGATAATGATGATGATGATGATGATGATGATGATGATGATGATGATGATAATGATTCTTCTTCTTCTTCTTCTTCTTCTTCTTCTTCTTCTTCTTCTTCTTCTTCTTTTTCTTCTTCTTCTTCTTCTTCTTCCTCTCCCTCTTCCTCTTTTTCTTCTTCTTCAGATGTTAACTCAATTGGTATTTTGCTGGACTCTATAATATGGAGCAGGTGGCCTTTGTTTGAATTCCAAATGGGGCATTTTGAACCTGGCTTGTATTTGGTGGCTCTCCACCAATTTGGTTGGGATCTATTTTGAGATTGACAGAACATTTGGAGGTCCCACCTCTTAAATAACCTTAGGCCTCTACCGCTTTACGACAGTTTGTCCTGGGACAGACCCATCTGGATTTTGAAACCTTTGAATTAGAGTGTAATGTACCACACCTATTACGACAGGACATTCTTGTCGATTTGAGTCCCGAGCAGTTGTGAATTGCTACAAAATCGGTGGGACAGGACTATCCCAGTCCCGGGGTAATATCGACTATGATTATAGAGAAATATAGCCACCTACTGCATTTGGACAAAACCTGTCCCAGACTTGGAGGCGCCTGGTGTCAAGATGGTGAGGCCTATCCGGTTGTGACGAAGAATCACTTTATAACTTGACGCCGTTAGTATTAAACTTGGGGCTCACAATTTTTAAAATAATTATCGCATCTCAAAACTGATTTCATATTCGGAACCAGCGTCTCAAAATAAGCAAAAAATGGCTCGCGTGGAACCTAATTTGATGCGATACTATGTAAATTTTAGCAAATTATTATATTTTTTGATTGATCGTCAATGGTGAAGTTGTGTATCAAGGTCACTCGGTGCGTTGTACATCTGCAGTCTGCTGTAGGCAAAGCTTCTACACACAACGAAGTGCGGACTTTTTTGTCAGCTGCAGTCGCTCGGTTATTTCTAAACAGTCTATTATCATCAAAATGGATTTTATCCAAATTGGATAGAACATTTTATTTTTGCAGTTGAAAGTAAATCATGTTTGCACAACAAGGTTGATGTTGCCTAGTACGGGCCGAAAGGTGAAACACACTCACACACAAACACACACACACACACACACACACACACACTCACACACACACACACACACACTCACACACACACTCACACACACACATACACACACACACACACAGACTCACACACACACACTCACACACACAAGCACACACACACACACACAGACTCACACACACACTCACATACACACACACACACACACACACACACACACACACACACACACACACACACACACACACTATAATTTAACTTCGTAATCGGGCATTAAATTGCGTTCCTCTCGAGAATTTTGCTAAATTTGGATCGCTGATCACGAAAATTTTATGCTTTTTAAAAATTTGGACAATATTAAATACATTTTTTTTAATGCACTTTTAACTCCGCCGTGAGAAACAACAAAAAGCCGCCTTATGCGTCTTATCAGTCCTGTCCTTGTACGGCATCTGTTTTGACATGCAAAAAATTGACGGTGGGTCAGGACAGTCCTGTCCAAGACAAGAATGCGCAGTGTAGCGGAAAGGGGTGGTAAATCTATACACTTTTCTTGTACGTCTTCTTGTTCTTCTTTTTTTTGAAACTTTAATTTTGATGACGGTATTACGGCTTTATTGTAAAGACTTGCTAATTTGTGCCTTGCTTTTGTTATTATATGTCCAATATTGTTGATGCAATATTAATTTTGAAAACAAAGTGGTGCCATCTAGTCATTGAAAATTACATTTTCTGTTTTTTTATACATGATAATTATATATATTATGTGTGTGTGTGTGTGTGTGTGTGTGTGTGTGTGTGTGTGTGTGTGTGTGTGTGTGTGTGTGTGTGTGTGTGTGAGTGTTTATACAACTTCTAGGCTCATATTGAATTAAAAATGCTACTCAAAATGAACTTTTTGTTTGTATATATATATCCATATATATTTCTTCTGTAAATATGACTTTTTACTTAAAAGAAAATGAGCTATAGTGGGCTCTGGCTATAACAGGACTGGCAATATCCCTAATATTGTTGGATCCTGTTGTAGAAAGGGATCAAGTTTATGTTCACTGCTACCACAGACCCATCCTTAGTGAATGGGATTGTTTTTTAGTACACTTTGATTACCCACTGCTGATGTATCAGATATTTCTCCTTTCTTTTTTTGTGGTGATTTTTTTTGCTCCTTTTCTCTGATCTTTCCTTTTCTAGTATCTTAGTCCCATGGAGGTTGACAAGACATAATTTGAGGCACATAAGTAGCCCAATAGGACTCTCCTACATCTCAACGGTGCGTATTCTTACAGCAGATCTTCATCTACGACTTTATCCTTTTCCTGTTCGTGAAGCTGACATTGATCAGAGGATATATATATGTGTATGTATATAATATATATATCCATGTCGTTATGATTCCCTGATTGTCTTAAAAAGCGGAAACGTTTCCTCGATGACATTTGGTTCCTTGATTAAGCCCGTATTCACCTTTGTCAACTCCTCAAATTAATGCTGTCTATTGGGCAACATCCAGAAACAACTCCATACTGTAAGGCAGTGCAATGTGTGTGGCTTTGAGCACTCATGGTTGGGGGGATCCTTGTGTTTGACCGCAGCTGAAGTCCAAAGGGGGAGTATATAGAGAGGAACTGTAGAATTCCAGAATTCTGAAAATATTTTTGAAAAATCTGCAAGAGAAGGAAATAATAGTTGCAATGTTACAGGGATGGAAAAATT